TCTCCTGGTCCAGTGAGTTGCCCAGACCTTGGTGACACAGTACCTAAGGTCAAAGACTGTTTCCAAGGGTGTGTTTTCTAACATAAAGATGAGTTCATCACTGACAGAACTCAGACTTACTTTACTCAGGGTCGGAGGGTACTCATGAGCATGCCTTTCCTATATTTTTCTTTTCAACTTTTGTGTTGATCTCTGCTTGGGATGACATCCTTCCCAGCTGTGCCCCTTTTCTTCCTGGTGTAGGTCAGAAATGTGTACGCTTGAGTTCTGAGCACACAGTGGAGGTGAAGTGGTCCTTAATTACCTACATTCAGTGTATGTCACAGGTGTATATGATTCCCAGGGGATGTGGCAGTGTTAAATGGTGTCTGAAGACCTGCAGGGCCTTTATCTTTGTGAAAAAGTTCAGCAGTGAGGAGCTGGGAGGATGCCGCTGAGCACATTCATTTCAGTGAGGAAGACTTAGCTTTAGGGAAGTCAGGAGTTTTACAATGTGGATTTCGTCTGTGGTGGAAAACCAGGAAGTTCCTTGACAAGTGCATGGAAGGCTGAATGGGGTAGAGTAGAAGGAAATCATGAAATATTGAGATAAGGGAGTAAATGAATGAATGAATGGAGTATATTAAAAAATATCCAAAACCTGGAGATCAAAAGAGAGCTAAGTTTGTCCTTTCAACATCATCCTGGGGCAATTTTTAACAAGTCTACTCAGTGATCGTTTAATTCTCAAGGAGAATGTACCTGTCATTTGGTTTTGCTATTCATTGGCCCATTAGACCTTAGATATTATGAAGCTACATGTTAACCTATAAATGTTTGCCCAATAGAGTAGACATTACCCCCCAATTTTTATTATCCCCTAAGACATTAACTAGTTTTGTATCCACTTAGAAATTTTTTTCTCATAGTCTTTTCTTTCCTTGCTGTGGCATTTTTATCTGTGAAATCGGGATAATGATAATAATAATACCTACATGGAGGGTAATTGTGAGAATTAAGTTGATGTGCCTTAAGGGCTTAGAACAGTTATGGCTCATAGTAAGTGCTAAGTATATTGTTGTGGTCTTATCTGTATGCTGGTAGGTATAAGCTGCTAACAAAGGTTTGTGAACTAGGCATAGGATCCAACTATTCAGGGAGGAGCCAAGCCTGATCATGACAGTGCTAGGAGCAGTTGTTTAGCATCTGGCTGTGAACTTGCTATTAAAAACACTATACTGAGAAGTCAAATAGAAACCAAGATGTTCTTTGAAATTTCCATGTATATCCGACATTATCCTAGATTTTAAACCAGGTGGAACAGTCTGCTCTTTGGGGTATGTTTGCTGTCTTTCCTTTATTAAAATAAAAAGGAAGTTTTAAAGGAGGACATGTAGAAAAAAGTGTTCATTAGACAGGACTCTAAGTACTTCTAGGCCATTTCAGTGGAGAGACAGCACATGAGGCTGTTTTTAGATGGAGACAAATAAATTATTACTTTATACTGATATTTTTCTATGTAAATTAAAAATTACAACTTTCTAAATTTTATTTTAGAAAACATATGACAAACCCTTCTTAATATCATTAACATAACAGCTTTTGTTTTATTATAATTATACTATGTATGTTTATAGTCTATGTGTGTATTATATATATGTGTATATGTATACATATACTACTACACACATCCATATACATATCCATATACATGTATATGCATGTGTATATATTCTATTACATATGGATTGTGTATATATATGTATATATATATATATATATATACACACACACACATACATACACATACACACACTGGTTATATATATATATATATAAAACAATGGCTATATCTACCTTTTTCTATATATATGACTGACTCTATATATCCAACCATATGTATATAATTAACTCTCTTTATATATCCTACTATACTATATACATATGTGTGTATAAAAATACACACAATACATCATTTATATTGTGTATATATGTATATATATGACAAAATGATAAAATCAATATTATCACTAATCACAAATATTAGCTATTCATTATACGGTAATTATATGGTAATTATATGGTAATTTGTGTTATCCATGTATACTTTTTATGAGTAGGATTTGTACCTATTTTTACCAGCTATGTGCTAGAGTTTTAGTACAATGCCTGGCACATAGTAGTTGCTCAGTAGATATTAATGGAAAGATTTGTTATTCACGAATTCATCCAATCTAGTAACTTGCAACTCTTGTTGCATTTTAGAATCACTGGGAAAGCTTATATTTATTTAATTTATCAATATTCATTCTTGGGTCCCATTCCAGACAATTAATTCAGAATATCTGGGAGGTAGGTCTCATTGCTACTTACAAAGCTCTCCTATTTAATTCCCTTTAAGGGCAACAGTTGACCCTGTGAATGGACCTGTGTCACATTATGAGTTCTAGACCAATGTATCCCAACTCTTCAACTCTATCTCCTGTCTGGCCTTCCTGATTTGGACTCTAGTTGGGAGAAGGAGGAAGGTCAACTTCCTTTCTGCCTACGTTCATGCTAACCTTGAGCTCAGGCACACGGGTGCCCCCATGAGCAGGATAATGATAATAAATTGAAACAGAGACATCCGTGTCCTGTCGATATCTGTCCATAAACTGGGGAGCTGGCCTATGATCAGACTCACAGCTTCTCCAGAAAATGCCAAGGAGCTACTGAGGCAGTCATGACCTTCTGCCACCGCACGATTGGGTGGGACTGAGACCAACTCTGGCTCCAGATGCCCTGTAGGAGAGTCTCTATTAAAATCTGCCAACCTGTGTTTCTTATTGAAATGACAAATGTAACTCATTGTCCTAGTCTCTCTCTACCCTGCAGTGAGAAGGAGCTTTAGAATGTGCAAGTCTGGTCTCAGTCTGCACATGATGCTTCCAGGCAGGCATTGTTGGTCCCCTTTACATATTAAAAAAAAAACAAGGTTGACAGCAGGTAAGTGACTTACAGATGCTCATAGAACTTGTAAGTAAACGCCATAGCCAGCATTTGAACTTGGGCAGAATACTTTCCAAACCTTTTTTCTCTCTAATACACCTTCTTAAACCTGCATTAGTAAATCAATTTGCTAACGTGGTTGGGAGCAAAACTGTGGATTCAGATGACTTAGATTTGAATCCAAGCATTTCCCCTTCTTAACCTCATGATGTAAGGCACATTATAAACTTTGTTGAGCCTCAGAAAACCTCTCTGAAGACAAAAAGGTAATAATGCTTACCTTGCAGAGTCTTTGTGAAGATTAAATGACATAATATGGGTGAAATGCTCTATATAATTTTTGGCACAGAGAATTCATGAAAAGGCAGTGTTAGTACAAAATTGTCATTGATATTTCCCTGCTGGGTCTTTTTTTTTTTTTTTTTTTTGGGCGGTCCCCCAGCCTCTCATTGTTGTGGCCTCTCCCGTTGCAGAGCACAGGTTCCGGACGCGCAGGCTCAGCAGCCATGGCTCACGGGCCCAGCCGCTCTATGGCATGTGGGATCTTCCCGGACCGGGTCACGAACCCGTGTCCCCTGCATCGGCAGGCGGACTCTCAACCACTGCGCCACCAGGGAAGCCCTCCTGCTGGGTCTTTGGTTAACCATTCTTTTCCCTTTAGAATACCATTCTTAAATTCCTCTCTCAACAAAAACACGGAAATTACTAAGTTTTAAGTTATTGATTGCATTATACCAGAATACTTGTGATGTGTAGTATGAAACAAACAGTAAGTATACAAATAAAAATTACAAATCAACCTCACTCTGAATGGAGATTCCAAATCAGAAATTAAAATGTAAACAAATTAAATCATGCTGCACTTTACAAAAACAATATCAATAGCACCTCAACTAATTAGGACTTACTCCAGAATGTAAAGATTGATCAACCTTGGAAACTTACTAATGTGATTGACCTCATGTATCAGTGGGAAAATATAGTAAAGATTAAATAATGTGAGCTCTCCCAGATCAGTGTACCTCTTCAAACTGCATATCAATTTTTTCTTAAATTGAAAAAAGTGTTTAGAGTGTTCACTAGGTATGTCAATAAACAAATATCATCAGTTATTTAAAGTCTTTGAAAACTAAAAATTCAACTATAGAACAATATATATATATATATATATATATGCATTATAAATATGATTTAAAATATATCTCTCTACATATCCAGCATCATATTTGTTGAAGACATTTCACATGAGACATTAGTTAAGGGTGTCTGCACTTCCTTCAGTCATATGCTGTAAAGATACACATCCAGCATTTAACCACAGTTATCTCTAGCTGGTAGCATTGCACAATTTTTGTATTTTCTTACTTTTACTTAATAGTGTTTTATATTTTTAATGTTAGAAACGTTTATTTTATTGTAAAAATTAAATTTATTGAAGGAAAAATCTTGGTAGATTTCATTCTTGCTTATGATAACATGCTATTATAATAATATATTTTGGTAGCTATTTATGTTAGATGCATGAAATATAAAAATAAAGCAAATTAAAAATATTTGTTCACAAAGGCTTTTTTTTTTTTTTTTTTTGAGGTATGCGGGCCTCTCACTGTTGTGGCCTCTCCCGTTATGAAGCACAGGCTCCGGACACGCAGGCTCAGCGGCCATGGCTCATGGGCCCAGCCACTCCGCGGCATGTGAGATCTTCCCGGACCGGGGCACGAACCCATGTCCCCTGCATCGGCAGGCGGACTCTCAACCACTGCGCCACCAGGGAAGCCCCACAAAGGCGTTTTATGATCATCAAAGAAGAATAAGGTGGGTTCAGGGGAACAGTAGCCAGTATAACCAGTATTCTTGGAGTATCTGTTATGTGCTGGGAAACATGGTTTCATTCTTTTAATGCCCCTCTACCCATTCTTCTCCTGAACACTGCTCTTGGACAGGATCCCAGCACATAGAGATACTCCCTTTCTTCCATTTACCCATTGTATGCTTATTCAGCACTTGCCTTTAGAGTTTTGTTACCTACTCACCAACTCTTCGGTTGAGCTGAGCTGGGATGTGAGTACCATTGAGGTCTGAGGAGCTGGAAAAAGCCACTGGAGAGAGCAAGGATGCTAATGGGTCATCACAGTTGTCTAGAATGAAAGTGGAGAGAGAGAAAATTCCATTAGCAAGAAATGTTCCATAAAGAGAGAACTCAAAGCACTAACCACTACCACTTATTAAATACCTCCTCTGATCAAGGCTGGTACTACTTGTTTCCATGTGCTATTTCATCAAATCCTCACAACAATCCTCAAAGATAGGGGTTAAGTTTCTTTCACAGTTGGGGAAACTCAAGTTCAGAGGTATTAAGTAGTTTGTGTAAGGTCACAATATTAGAAAACAGTGTGGCCACAATTCTTGCCCAGATTTGTCTAACCCAAAATCCAACTATCTTGCCATTCCTTTGATCAACCACTTGAGCAAAGCCTCAAATTATGGTTAGTGAGTTTCTTCTATAAAAGAGGAGATGGTTTAAAAATGGGGAACATTGTAACTACTCTCTCATCTTCAGTCCCTAAGGACTCTTGCAATCGTTCTATCTAGAGGGACAGAATAACTTAGAATGTCTCACTCCTAGTTGCGTGAAAGTCTTTGGAAAACGAGTTACTGATTTTAATAATTCACTTCTATTCTATGAAGTAGTAGAGAATAGCCCCCAGCCTTCCCTAAATGTGGTAGGTATGTGTCCTAAGACTTCTTTGATGCTGACTAGATGTGGAACAATGTGGAGTCATGGGCAGAGATGAGGTCTTGACAATGTAGATATGCTCCTCTGATTGCCCTGACCATCCAATCTCATGTCCAGGACTCTCCCCTCACAGAGCATATTGGAGCTTGTAATCATTCATTTATTTGTTTGCATTCTCCAATAGGTAACATGCACTTTGTGGGATCTTAGCAAATAATCCGGCATATAATAGGCTTTCAATAAAGGTTTACTTAAAGAATGAAATGGTGAGTAAAGGAAGGAAGTAATCAATCAATCCACCTAACAGTACCAACACTCTTACCATTTTTCCATTTTGTATACAATTGATCTTAAAGAATATTGCAAAATGTGTTCATGAAATCTAGACATACCTCACTCAAAACAAATTTGAAACGTGTTAGTCAGTTTGAATGTCAACTTCATAGTGTCAAATGCTCTCAGGAAGAGCTGAGTGGACATTCTTAAAAGAAAATGTACATAGGATTATGAGGTTGCTTGCTTACACAGCAAATTCTTAGGGAGCAGTATTTCATATAATTGCAGGAAAATTAATTATAAACATAAGGATTGAATTTTTGTTTGTTCAATGTGTTAAAAAAATCAACTGGCAAAATATATTTTGAGTTTTTCCCAATCAAAAATGTTTGAAAAATATTTTGAGGCATTTAATAAACACAAAATAGAGCCAGATCCTCACTGAGGAGGAATAACACAAAAATCAGAGCAAGGGAAAAAAATCAGAGCAAGGGAAAAAAATCAGAGCAAGGGCACCTCGGTAATTACGGTCATTCTAAGAATAGAAAACAGAACTCAGGGCCAATTTACCCCAGGCCTGAGATGCAAGTGAGAGGGGTTGCATGCACCCTTCCAACACAATTGTTTGGGAACATGAATTTGTTACTCTATTTATATGTTAGGAAACAATAGGAACATAATGGAAATCTTCCATTTGCTTATGCTAGTTTCATCATTAGGAAACAGGTGAACGTCAAAGCTTGAACCCAACTGGACTGAGCCCCAGAAGAATACACCACACACACACACACACAACACACACCACACACACCAAACACCACAAAGTATTTCTCTTCCTAGCCATGTTATGAGCATCACCTCCCCACATCTGTAGTTATAGCTACCATCCAATTTCAGATAATATCCCTCCACCCCTACCCAATAACTCACAACCCTCCTAACACCCACTTCCACAAGCAAACTGAAGATCTTTTAAATGTCAAGTACCATAATTATTATAGTATTTATGTATTTCTTAAACATATAACATGTATAAAACTCTGCTATCATTTTTTTCAATACTTTTTCTTGAAGTATAGTTGATTTTACAGTGTTGGTTAATTTCTGCTGTGCAGCATAGTGATTCAGTTATACATATATATTCATTCTTTTTTATAGTCTTTTCCATTATGTTTATCTCAGAATATTGAATACAGTTCACTGCATGTTGTAGGGCCTTGTGGTTTGTCCGTTCTATATGTAATAGTTTGCTGTACAGCAAAGTGATTCAGTTATACATACATATATATATATATATATATATTCTTTTTCATATTCTTTTCCATTATGGCTTATCATAGGATATTGAATATAGGTTTCTGTGCTATACAGTAGGACCTTGTCGGTACTGCTACTGTTTTTATTAGTTTTTTTTTTTTAATTGGTTGCTGATGACATTTTTGAGTATTGTGCTCCTAACCCTATTTCTTTTTCCCCAGGTAGAAATTGAAGTAACCTAATAATTTCAATTTAATTTAGTCCAATAAATATTTATAAGGTCCTACTTTATGCTTGACCTTGAATAGGCATTGGGATACATTTGAGTAAAATTGAGTGTCAGACTTCAAGGAGTTCAGAGACCATTGAAATATATGAATATATAAACAAGTCAATAAATGGGTGGGATAGTTGAGGAGAGTTTTCACCAACATTACATCCAAGCCAGTTACATGTGTACCTAACTGGTCAGACGTCCAGGTAAGTGCTCTTTCCCATCTCCTCCAGTCTTATGCAGTCCCCTTTTCCACCAGGCACTGGCCTCGGGAAGAAGTAAGCTTCCAACCACACTGGCCTCCTGATGTCAGCTGCTATTTCCCCACTGCCCAGTTCCTCTTGTGAAATGTTCCTTCTTTGTATCTCCATTTATGGGGTCAGTGTTTCCATTTTGGAAATCGGTAAAGCCATTGGAAACAATCTGTGCTAATGGAAAGGTCCAGAGAGGATTCTTCAGGGCTCATTTTCTCATGGACCCTGGACATTGCAGTGGCCTTTAGAGAACATGTCTGAGCTTTTGCTCCCCTATCCCTAAAAGTGATAAGAATGGGAAAGTTTCCAATCAGAAAGAAAGACCACCCCCTCCTCCCTGGCCAATAGGTAGAGATCCCTCTCTCTTCTCTATGTCAGATGAACAAACCTGACAAGTCACCTAAACTGAGAGTAGACCAGGACTCAAATTGGTAATCAAATTACCCCTAGTGGCTGGGAATTAAGAATTTGTCCATATAAGCATTCTCAATGCAAAATGTGTATTACTTTTAAACCTGTCCTATTCTTAAAGCAGAGGAGAAACAATCTAGCATAAATGAGGACAGTACAGTTGACACTTAACACGGGTTTGAACTGTGAAGGTTCACTTATACCAGATTTTTTTTTTCAATAAATAGGTTGTACAGTGGTATAGGATCCGTGGTTGGTTGAAAACAGGATGAGGAACCTCGGATTTTTCACTATGTTGGGGGTAGGTGTCCCTCAGCCCACGTTGTTCAAGGGTGAGCTGTAATTAATTTTTAAAAAATTCCTGATTTGGGAAGGCCGGGGATAGTGGATGGTGTCAGGATGACTAAGACTGAGAGATCCTTGTTCTAGACTGGTTTCTTCTCTTGCCTTGGTGACTCCAGATAATACATCCCAATGCACTAAGCTGTATCTCCATTGTCCATAAAATCGAGAGAATCATCTCTGCCACATCTAGCCATAGAATCATTTCAAAGATGGAATGAGACGAGATGGAAAAAGTCCCCCTTTAAAGGATAAAGCACAGAATAAACCCAGGAAGTAGTATGTGCATGGTCTGTAATATCTGCTTGCAATCCAGAGCAACCATTTTCAACAATTTTATTCCTGGGATCTTGTGTGTATGTTACAAATCCTGCAAAAGAATTGATATCACCAAAAGCTCTTTTGCACTAAAGGTTTGTGGTCAACTTGATGAGAAGGAGGATAGGAAGTATGGGAGAGGGGAAGGGGTGAAGACACACAGGAGAGTGAGGGTGGCATTGCATCCCCTCTGTGGATTGGCAGCCTTCCTGAAACAGGGCCGACATTGCACCAAACACATGGCTAGGAAGCAAAGACACAAAGTACCATCTGCTCCACCATCCCTGCAAGCTTTAAATAAGCAGACCCATGTTGTTGTTAAATTTTAGGAACCACTCACATCTCAGCCTTCTGAGAGTGTGTTTGCAAGCTAAATCCATCAGTCAGTTCTTCCAGAAGTGTGGTGGATGTTTATTCGTATTTACATAAGGAAAGAGGAAAGGGTGAAGAAATTCTGGGAGGGAGAGAGAAGTTTGAAGTTTAGGAAAAACATAAGGCGGGACTAGAAGTCAGGCTTCCGGTGGAACACAGAACCTGGAGAAACCATGATTATTTTTCAAGAAATGAACCGCACTTCACAGATGCAATGGCATAGTAGAATATTTTCAAAATATTTCTTTAAAAAGCCCATTTATGGGCTTTTTCTCTCAAAGATGTGTTGCAGAAATCAGGGGAAATTAAAAGTCTGTTTAAAAATGCAAACCTTTTCTTACATTATTACTGTCCAATTTTCTTTGACAAATAACTGCCACCTTGTTTTCCTTTACACCATAAAGGCCACCTCCAAACCCACCCCTTGCCCAGGCAGATAAAAATCCAGACCTATGAGTGGGTGTTGAATAACCCAGTCCTATTTTCAAATGACTTAGCCCCACATTCATAGACTAAGATGATGTCAAAACCAGAAGGAACTTCTGAAATTGTGGAATTCAAGCCGTCCCTTCACTTTACAAATGAGGACCTCAGGGTTGAAGGAGATGACAAGCCTACTCAGGATTAGTTAGTTAATTAATAGACTGGCCTGGATGGAAACTCAGGTTTCCTCAATCCCAGATGGTGACCACTAGGTCAGAATCACCTGCCGCCTGTGCATAAATCTGGTAATCATTAGTTATATCATTCTTCATAACATTTGTTTTAACAAATGACTTATTTTCTGCAAAAGGAAGGGCATGGTTTTATTTCCTGGATAACAGAAAAATGTTGAAGAATAGTCTATAATTTTCAAAAGAATTTGAATTTCTTATTTTTTTTGGCCCTTCTTTATTT